GCTGAATTCTGAAATTTAATGCCCACATGGCTTAAAAACTATGATAAATTTCTTTATCCTCACTAACCACGTTTATGATCTAGTATGTACATGTATGCAAACATATGATCTATTTGATGATTTAATTAATGTTTATTTGCTACTAGAAATGTGCATTGGTATTTTTAATTATTATACTTATATTAATTAACTGATAATTATGTCCTCATGTGAAATCTCGGCCAGTTCCGGTTTCCAGCATGGTGGGACAATTAAAAAAAGGAATGAAGTGTATATTCATTATACCTAATCCTTACTAAGTAATTTTACCTCATGGTGATATTAGCTTGATAAATCACTGTCTTGCTTTAATTTAGATTTAGTCCAGATACTTCTAAGACTAGTTTAAGAGCTTGGAAAGTGAATAACACAGTGAGGCTGAATTTAATATTCACACTGTCAGAGAAGAAGAAAGATGTATGGCCCATGCTTGTAATTATTATTGTTGTATATATATTTCCCCATTACTAGGAATATTTCAGTACTGCAGCAGGTGGCCTTACAATTGTAATAATTATATTTCAACCTTTACAACTCCTAAACTCTACTGAATAAGATTTAGGACATGTGTGGATTTAGATTTAAACTGGAGTGAGTGTTGTATATTTTATGTTAATACTGTGACAGATGGAAAGCCCATTGTCATCTATGATTGTATTTTGACATCTATCCCAGCACCCAGTATATTGATGGAGATATGTCAATCCCATTTGTTTTCAAACAGTGCAAAGCACCTGTTATGAGTTCCTGGTCTTGGTAAACTCACTCCCTGTTTCTCATTCATTGTGATGTGAACCCATGTGGTTAAAATGAGAATATGGTGAAATATGACTGTATGTCTGTGTGTGTAAGCATGTTAACCCTTTAAAGGAGTACTAGTGTGCAGACATCAGAACAATTTACACTGAGGAATGTCCTTTCTTTTCTTTGTGTGATGTTAACTCTTGTTCTTGAGAGTATTCATGAAACTGGTTTCCTAAATATTTCCCCATCAGGATTATGGACCATGTTCTGCATACATTCCCATTCTATACCAGTAGAATGTGAACACCTGTTACTATCCTACTCCATATATATGTGTGTAGTGTAACAGTTTAAAGACTGGAGGTATTGTTGTCTCCAGTTAGAACCTTCCTGTCTGTTTGTATAAGGACTGTTCTATTGTTCTAGTTCCAGATGTAAATCCTAAGCTTAGCTGCAGATACCCGATTGTCTGGACTGGACCGGAAGATTCGGCCTGCCTGATGTGTCACCAAGGCTTAGCCAGAAGCTGACATAAGCTACAGCTAAGTGGACAAAGTTGACCACTAACCTTTATAACCGGATTATATCCACAGCCATTTAGTTATCATTTGAATTTATATTGATTTGAAAATCCTAATAAATGTTAGTTTTAATGTTCCTACAGTTTTATGGAGTTTCCTTTTAACTGTAAACATTGTCAGTGAACTTAAGAACATTTAAATATACAATCTTAATTACAGTAGGGAATAAGATGTGGGCAAACACCAAATCCTCTAATTTAACCAGCAAGGCTGGGGGTAATATAAACCTTTATTAAGATTTAATGTTTGTAGTTCCCTCTGTAAAGTGCACATAGTGCAGTCGCTAGTAAAAAGCGAAGTTACCCGCCACACAGTAGCGAATGTTAGAATGACTAGGCGGTGTTGATTGAAGGCCTAAGTTCAATTGTGTGATAGCACGGAGAAGAAGAGTGGTTGTTACTTTAACTACACCTCACTGGGGAGGGGTGGGGGTGAGTAGTATTTAAATGTCTTCATACCCTAAACGGGTATTAGTTGTAAAGTAAGGAATACATATAATAGACAGGGCTATTCAACTGGCAGCCTGTGGGCCAAATAAGGCATTCGGAGGCCTAGTAAATTGCCGGCGGATCATTGTCAATTGTAGTGTGTAATAATTATTCTATAGTGGGGCTCCAGATTCTGGCCCGTGACAATCCACGTTTTAAAAATGTCTGCCCCAGAGTAAACTTAGTTGGGTAGACAAAGCAAGGTGACAGCTGTCTCAGACAGGAAATGGTAATATAATTGAACTGATGACTGTGGTGGTTTGTTTACCGCTAGCTATGATGACCAGTTCTTTCATCCGTCAGCCGGGCGAGATTTATGGTTCAGTAGGTAGCCGATAAGACCAGAATTAGAACTGGATGTTCTCCAGAATGTGTGGACAGGTAATTGGGGCCGCATCTATTGGGGGATTCAGTTCGCGGTCTTGTCTGGCTTGTCTTTGTTGAACTCCTGCTGCAGTTCTGGTTATAGAACTTGTCGCGGCTTCTATGCGAAGAGATGGATAACAAGATGAAATGTTGCGCACAGTAGTTTCACGTGTACCACGATCAATGTTAAATGATCTAGGTGGGATCAGCATGGCAGAACCTGTGGGCCACCATCCCCTTATAGGCTGAGGGGTCCTATTTTATTGGGAGGGGGTGGGGGAAGTGGGAGGGGAGGGGACATAACAGAGTCACCTATTCAGTTGGTCCACAGCCCTCAAAAACCTTTTATAAGGCCATCCAGGTCATTCGAAATTCCCGTTTTGGGGCAAATCTGAGGGGCTGGTGTGTGTTCACTATGTTTCTATAATTTGCAACACGTTTTTTTTAATTATATTTTCTAAAAGCACACAAATTAATGTTCAAAACTATAATTTAAAAAATGTAGCAATTTAATTAGGCTAGTTTAATTTGTGTATAAATCTACTCTATTAACACAGTGAACACACACCGGCCCATCGGAGTTGCACAAAACAGGAATTTCCATTGACCCGACTGCCCGTTTTTAGTGGCGGCGCATAGGGCTGAGGTCATTGCTCCCAATGTAAGGTAGTTTGTCTCCCCCCCCCCCCCCCCCCCATTTTATTTCGGGAGTGTTCTTTAGGCCTATGGATGAGCCTTCCTTGGTGATGGCTCTACATAGGATCTCTCTAGGTCTTTCCTGTCTTCTGTTCCCTTCTGATGTCCAAATGAGGGCTTGGTGAAGGTGTGTGGTCTCATCCATTCTGAGTGCATGGCCGATGTAGTTCCAGCAGCGCTTTCTTAAAAAAATGTTATACTTTATCTTGCTTTATCTGTTGTCTTATTTACGTACTGAATCTTAAATCTTTCCAGTCGTGAAAAAGTATTCTTCTAAAACATTTGTTTTCACATTTTTTTTTTCTTTTTTTTTTTTTTTAGAATTAATGTTGGTTTTTAATATTGCATCCGTGAGTTAGCACTGGAATAATACAAGAGTTAAAGATCTTAAAAGTAACAGGCCTACTGCCTCAAAACAAAAACTATTAGTTGTGTATAATTTGCAGGAAACTGCAGAACCAATCCCAGCGTTCTTTCTGTCCGTTTGTGATTTTACTAGACAAATTTCCCTTCTGTAGTTTGCCATTTCGGTCGGCTGTGGGTACAACTGTTGACACCAACGTAAGGCGGTAGGCTGCTACATCGTCCTCAACTAGGATCGAACCCAGCACTTCCAAATCACGAAGAGTGTTGGCCTAAGCCACACATGCCGACATGGGCATATCTTAAAAGGCTAACAACTAGGAGGTTTGTGGAAATCTGCTCTGCTGGGCTGAAATGCGCAGATATCACAGCCTAGCTGTAAACCATAACACAGAGAGCCAGTCGCGCTTTATGGCCAACACAGAAGAACAAACAGATTTGGCCATATTTTAATGGAAACAAAAAAGTCACTCACCACTCCTCTTGCAATATACACTGTGTAATCGAGCAAAAAGAGATGTTCACAAAGTGCAAAATAAAGTAATTATAACAGGTTTAAATATTTTAAAGCAAATAAAAATGTCCAAATATTTTTATCGAAATTGTCCTCTCCCCTGTTATAATTATTATAATTATAATTTTGTTTTAAATATTGCAGCTGCTCCCTTCTCAACAATTTAACTCGTCACGGGATAGCAGCAAGGCTACACCCACCCCCTTGGATCATTCCAAAGACCCATACTTGGACTTGTGACTTTAAGCAATCCACGCTATATTTCCAGCACCATAGCTTGGGTTATATTATATACTTTAGAAAGCTGTCAATGAGACCGATGTTCCCCATTTGGAATAACTTTGAGGAGTCCGTAATTTAATTTTAACTAATAAATCAAAGTGCAATGCATTTTTGAGATTCTATTGCTATGTATTTGTAAATTCATTAATATCATGTAGCAGATCCCTTGCAGAAGGTCGCTCTCATCACGGTCTGCCTGAAAGAAACTTGGTCTCTCGCCAGCTCTCCCGCCTCGTGCATTTTCATACTCAAGGAATCACTTATATCCGGTGCCCATCTTCGTGGTGGTCGGCCTCTGCCCCTCCTTCTTGGTACAATGCCTTTTGCTATAATTGTTTTCTCCAATCCATGGTGGTGCTTTATATGGCCAAAATATTTCAGCTTCCTTTATTCAGGGTGACAATTGAAAAAAAAATTTGCGGTCAGTGGCATGCCTTTGAAAATAAAAAGGGATCCGCAATGTTTCTGAAAATTGGAAACCACTTATATAGACGATTCTTTGAAGTTGATGGTCTTACATTGCGGACTGCATGACCCATCAAGATATCAGGGTAACAGCAACATGCAAGGGTAACAGTCAGTTTACCTTGTCCCTTAAAACATGGGGAATAAGGTCTTTTTATTCACCTAATATATTGCAGACCTGATAAGGAGAATTCACCAGGAAACCAAGAAACAGGTCTTCTTATTAGAAATTCCTCTTATCCAGAGAAGCGTACAAGCATATCGTAAATGCTGGGAATTACCAAATAATTCTTTACAATAGAAATTCGCCACATCTGAGATCGCTTAAACGGTCTGCACTGTATAATGACAGCTTTTTAATTCTAATCGCAGGGCTTCCCACTGAGTTATACTCCATATGGGAGGCATACCCGTGGCGTCTGGGAGAGGCCTTTTGCTACCTGCGACAGACAATGATGGAAGCTACATCCTACGCCTCGGTGCTTACTATCACTTCCTTCACTGTGGAAAGATACCTGGCCATCTGTCACCCTCTCTTGGCGCACAAGATTGCCGCCTTATCCAGGTATGTACACAGCCTCATTAACTCTTTCTGACCCAAGTAACGCACTATGTGTGTTGAGCTTGTGTCAATGTGTATGAACGCACTATACGGTGTGTTTTTATTTATTTAGTGTTTAGTAGGATGCCTAAAAGAAATCTGGCCAAATATTCAAAAAGCTACACATTATGTGGTGTAACTGTGAAGATCATACACTGATGCCTCTTTTATTGTGATCATTGCGCAGAATTGGGTTTCTGATTTGAAACCATCTGGGATTCAAACAATTAACAGACAAGCCAAAACAATTTCTGGAGACCCCAGACATGTTGTTTTACAGAAGACTGCTCAAAATTTCTTGGATATACAACATGATTAACTCAGATATGGGGGCGTGGTCCGAAAAAGCTTGTAGTAAACATCAGAAAAGAACAGTCATGATCTGTTATGAGAAGATGGAATCTGCAACAAGTTTTGACGACTGGACAAATTTGTGGACAGAGGCACAGGAAGACAACTGGAGGATCTTCTTGTACAACCTTTTGAAATGATATCGAGGGGTGTCAGCACGTGAACTCGTACAGATTGTTGTTGATTATGATGTTGATGAAGACGATGATTTTCACTGACATGTAACGATTCTTTTTACTTGAGAAAATAACCGCCTGTAGAGATCATAAGTGTATGCACTTGTAAAACATAATTTGTTGTCAGTTTGTTCAGTTAGCGAATATAGGATAATTAGGGCAAAATAAACCACACACACACACGCACACACACTTACGAACACACACACACACAAACACACACATACACCACACACACACACAAACACACACACAGGACAGAGAGAAAAGTATGCAGAAAGGAAAATAACCGGGCAGCACACGATGCAAGTAAGATAAAAGAACAGAAAGGGGACAATAATTATAGACAGACAGAGAGAACCATGAAAGAAAAACGAGAGAATTATGAAACTACATGACGAAAAAAATAAAAAGAAAGAAAAAAGAAAGAAAAAGAAATAAATAAAGAAAGAAAGAAAGAAAGAAGAAAGAAAGAAAGAAAGAAAGAAAGAAAGAAAGAAAGAAAGAAAGAAAGAAACATGTAAATGGTTTAATCAAAACACAAGTTTTCCTTCCAAAAACATTGTAACGAGCAAATGTTCAGTATTCTTGGCTGGTGGTTTCCATAGATAAGATTGTGTACTGTGATGAAATTTATATACAAAAGCCAACTACCTTCACCGCTCTGGTGACGCGTGAGGCGTATGATGCTAGACTGATGATAGGTTATGGACCAGTCGTAACTTTGTAGGTAATGTTATTATCATGACTCCAACCGCCTATACTTCCCAGGACGTTACCTGGTGCACATTTTAGGCTAGGTCTATCTGAAAGCAAAGGTCTGTTATTAACAAAAATCAGACTCGATGAGAATTCGAATCCAGAACCTCTGGGTCAGGAGGCGACAGTCTAAACATGACACTGCCACTGTTCCCACAGTTATATCATACGGCTTCAAATATGTCCGAGATGAAATGAATAATGATACTATCAAACAGATAATGGGAACGACAAGGTGTACTAGATTCATAGAGAAACAGCAGATCAAGTGATCTGGCCATCTCGTTAGGATGCAGCAACATCAGGTACCATCTAAAGCACTACATCTCAAAAGATCAACTACAAGTCAAGAGGACTGCCACGAATTTAATGGATCGACAACAATAAAGACACTTTTCACTTTCACAGCATGATACTAGCCAGGGCCAGACAGGGTTCACTGGGTCGCAAACTGTTCCTTCCCACGTCACCTAACGGTAGAAGTGGTTTTTGATAATGATGATCAAATATTAACTGAGAACCCATATATTCATCCACAGAGCCGTGAAGATCATCATATCCATATGGATTATATCAATACTGGTAGCCTTGCCGTACACAATCCACACCCGCACTTACCACGCAGTGACAATCCCTGGGACCAACTCAACAGTGCCTAACTCGCTTGTCTGCAGCATCCCTTTCTCCGACCTGGGCGGCTTCATGTACTATATGTTCCAGGTATCCACCTTTCTCTTCTTCGTGGGACCTGTCACTATTATAGTCATCCTTTACATCCTCATCGGTGTAGCCCTGCGGCGATCGCCGTTGGCCCGAGGATCTTCTGATGAAAGAAACTATGTCACCATGAAAAGTCCACCCTCAGTTCCCCAGCAGCCTCGCAGGGTTGTTATCAGGATGCTCGGTGAGTGGACCATGCTAATCATTATCATGATTGTCATCTTCATCGTCATCTATGTGTACCCTTTTAGATAGTGGAGGCCCACCCTTTACCACAGCAACCATGCAGGTTTACCAGGATGCTCAGTCAGTAGCTCTTTTTAATCATCAACATTATCATCATCAATATGTACCATGCGAGATGACGGAAGCCCACCCTCCGTGCCACAGTAACCAGGAAGGGTTATCTCGATTGTCGGTTAGTCGCTAAACATGATCATCAGCATCGTCATCGTCTTCATCGTAATCCTCTTGACTGTGTCTTGACCTTGCCAGATAGTGGAGGCGAGGAACCAACAGTCTGTGCACAGCTAGTTAGATTTATAAAACGGGTATGCATACAAAACTCAAGTTGTGGAACAAGAGCAAAGTCCATAAATAGATTAACAGTTAGAACTTTCAACGGGGTTTATAGCCGATTCTTCTTCTTCATCTTCTTCCTTTCGAGCATAGGCCCTCAACCAACTCACGCCAAGTCGTTCTATCCTTCGCCATTGCATGGAGCTCTCCCCATGTCCTCCCGATCTTTCTAACCTCATTCTCCAGCTCTCTTCTCCATGTGGTTTTTGGCCTTCCTTTATTCCTATGCCCCTGTGGGTTCCAATGCAAAGACATTCTAGTTATGCTGTTCTCCTGTTTTCTCAGTGTGTGCCCTATCCAACGCCAGCGTCTTTTCCTCACCTCCTGATCCACTGGAGCCTGTTTAGTTCTCTCCCAAAGTTCTACATTAGTTATTCTATCATACCATTTTATTCCCTCTATTCTGCGCAGGCACCATTTAATGAATGTCTGTAATTTATTAGTAATTGCCTTCGTTGTTCTCCATGTTTCCGCCCCATACAATAGTACTGATTTAACATTAGAATTAAAAATTTTTAGTTTAGTATTTCTTTTAATTTCTTTTGACCTCCACAAATTCCCTAGTGCTATGAAAGCCCCTCTTGCCTTTTGTATTCTTATTTTAATATCTCTATCAGTTCCTCCATCTTTATCTACATCACTGCCTAAATAGGTGTACGACTCCACGTTTTGGAGTGGGGTGCCATTAAGAGAAACCACATTACTATTTGCCTGATTTATTCTCATTACCTTAGTCTTTCCTTTATGGATTTTCAGACCAAGCTGCTGTGATCTCGCATTAAGTATATTTAATTTATCTTGCATCTGATTCCGTGAATGGGACAGAAGAACAATATCATCAGCGAAGTCCAGATCATCAAGCTGTTTTGTAGGGGTCCACTGAATTCCATTTTTGGTGTTAGCAGTTACTGTTTTCATAGTCCAGTCTATAGCCAGTAAAAATAAGAGAGGCGACAAATAGCCGATTAACACCTAGAAAAAGAAGATAAAGAAGAAAACTACGCATAATTCCCGACTTTTATTTGCTCATAACAGTTACCCGATTTCAGTTATTGCTGGATGTAAATTTCGATGATTGATTTATGTCCTCTAGACACTGTAATCTCCTTTTTTTAATTGATGGCTTGGCACCTGTCCATCTTTCCAGACGATAGTGTTATATTGCGCTATGAGCAGGTATGGGACTTACAACCCATGGCGATGGTGAGTGGGCCTTGCAAGACCAGCCAGTGTTAAAAGACGTCTTCCAAAATTATAACATGGGATTTCAGGAACAATGTCAACATTTGTGTTCGTCTGTTTCTACTCAGAGGCTCAGCTCTCATCCTTGCCACAATACATTCTTTCGTCATTCGTGTTCCCCGTTCTGCTGTGTTTCCTCCACACAACATAGCATTTTGTTACTACGAGTCCACCTTAATACCTGTATCATTCATGTCCCGCTTGCACATGTCTTTATATCGTAGCAGAGGTCGGCCTCCACATCTTCTACCTTTCTTTAATTCACCATAAAGGATGTCCTTAGGGACTCGGCCATCCTCCATTCTCCAGGTGTGTCCAAGCCAACTGAGCGTACGTAGACTGAACATTGAGAAGACTGTCGTATTACCTGCTCTTTCCATTACCTCCGTGTTTGTGATCATGTCCTGCAACTTAATGCTAGGTACTCTTTGAAGGCATCGCAGGTGAAAGTTATGCAGCCGTTTCTCCTAGTGCGAATAAGTTGACCACGTTTCACTGGCATAAAAACGAGTGCTGAGAAGACAAGTCTGAAAGACAAGAGTTTTTGTTTCAGTTGGAGCTTTCTGTTCTCCCAAACTCTTTTGGTTAATCTCGTTTGTTTATTACCAGCAATGTTTCCTTGTTCTTTGTCCGAAACTTACAATACCCAAAGGAACGATAGCGTATGACCATAAGTACTCTTGCAGAAATGTTTGCACTCTCGAGTATCAAATTATCTGGTTACTCTTTATGCATTCCTAAGATGCATACTGTTTTGGATTTTTATAGTGGTATGGGGCGTCGCCTAAAATGGGTACCAGGATGGCTGTCAAAGGGAAGTAGAGACGGCCGACGTAATGTTGACCACAATACCCACCTAGTACCGATGGCCTGAAAAAAATATAGGCGCTCTTCCCATATACCCGATTCGCCTAAATGCGTGAAAAGGGATCTTTACTTAAAAAAAAAAAAAAAAATACTGTTTCTCTTATTTGCCCAGTTGCTGTGACGGTCGCCTTCGTGGTCTGTTGGGCCCCGTTCCATGCTCAACGCCTCATGACCCTCTATGTCATGAACTGGACTCCAGACCTGCTGCTTGTCCAGTCTCATATCTTCTACACCTCAGGTATGTGGTGTTTGTGTTTAAGAATAATATAAGGTTCAACATACAGCTGTTAGAGGTTTTTGAGTGTTTGAGTGTAGTTATGAGGTCCAACATACAGCTGTTAGAGGTTTGTGAGTGTTTGAGTGTAGTTGTGAGGTCCAACATACAGCTGTTAGATGTTTGTGAGTGTTTGAGTGTAGTTGTGAGGTCCAACATACAGCTGTTAGATGTTTGTGAGTGTTTGTGTGTAGTTCCGAGGTCCAACATACAGCTGTTAGATGTTTGTGAGTGTTTGAGTGTAGTTGTGAGTTTCAACATACAGCTGTTAGAGGTTCGTGAGTGTTTGAGTGTAGTTGTGAGTTTCAACATACAGCTGTTAGATGTTTGTGAGTGTTTGAGTGTAGTTGTGAGTTTCAACATACAGCTGTTAGATGTTTGTGAGTGTTTGAGTGTAGTTGTGAGTTTCAACATACAGCTGTTAGAGGTTTGTGAGTGTTTGTGTGTAGTTGTGAGGTCCAACATACAGCTGCTAGAGGTTTGTGAGTGTTTGAGTGTAGTTGTGAGGTCCAACATACAGCTGCTAGAGGTTTGTGAGTGTTTGAGTGTAGTTGTGAGGTTCAACAGGCAGCTGTTAGAGGTTTGTGAGTATTCGAGTGTAGTTGTGAGGTCCAACATACAGCTGATAGAGGTTTGTGGGTATTTGAGTGTAGTTGTAAGGTCCAACATACAGCTGATAGAAGTTTGTGAGTATTTGAGTGTAGTTGTGAGGTCCAACAGGCAGCTGTTAGAGGTTCGTGAGTGTTTGAGTGTAGTTGTGAGGTCCAAACAGGCAGCTGTTAGCGTTTGTGAGTATTTGAGTGTAGGTGTGAGGTCCATCAGGCAGCTGTTAGAGGTTTATCGAGTGTCTAAGATTAAATATGAGTTTCAACAGACAGCTCTGAGAGATTTATCGAAAAGAATATATGTGACGTTCACTAACAACTGTTAGCGTTTTCTTTTAGAGAGGATGGATTTACCAGGTGGTGGTTATATTTTTGTGTGTGTTGTTTTTAAGAGTAGATGCGAGATTCAATAGGCAACGGTTAGAATGTTTTGAGTGTATGAGGGCAGATATGAGGTTCAACATGTTGTTGTTAGTGGTTTATTTTTCTTTCTAACAGTATGACTGTACTCTCCATTTACTCTCTCAGTGAGGTTAAGGTATATTGATTTGATGAAGCCCAGCTTGACAATATAATTAATTTGCCAGAGGACTGAAATATTGTCATGGTGTCCTATCCCTAAAACTGGAGTCCTCAGGTGGCATAGATATAGATATATAACTTCTCTGAGACTTACGACCGTTTGCAATTAACCCCGCCCCCCCCCTCCCCAAATTAAAAACGAAATATAAAAAGATAACAAATTGGTGGGTCTAAAATTGGCGCAAGTCTTGACAGACTGAGTTACAAGTCGCTAAGTCCCTAGGTTCAAACTGAGTCACCACGCCCACATATTGCTCGCTTTGACCATTGAGAGGAAATTTATACAGGTAAACAAATGTCCACACACACACACACACACACACACACACACACACACACACACACACACATATCAAACTGACTGTACCCAAATATATTTGTTAAACATTATGATCAGACACAGGCACTCTACGACTTACGGCCGAGTACCTTTCCGACTAGCAGGTCGTAAGTCGAAACGACCTGACGTAAATCTATATGTTAAACTCTATAATTATATATATATATATATATATATATATATATATATATATATATATATATATATATATATATATATATATATATATTGTGAGGTCCAACACGAACTAATAAATGCTGCAGTAGATGGCAGATTGTGGCGAGGCATAATGGCCCATGACAGTCGGCAGGGCACCTGTTGATGATGATACACTATTCATATTCGTATTCGGCCGAATAGTTGCGCCCGCTATTCGTATTCGGTAATCACTATTCGGTACAGCCCTCATATATATAGCTGCTAAACTCTGACCTATCTGTCATTGTGTCTTGGGTTTGTATCCATCCCGAAGCAGACTTTTATAAATACCTTTGGTTGGTAGGTAAAGCTAGTCAAAAATACCAGAAATGGCAGCATTCACGCCAAACCTTGTTTGATACTGAGTGGTAGTCCATGACTGACTTCTGTATCTATATCCCCAGGTGTCCTGTATTTTGTGAGCTCTACCATGAATCCAATATTATATAATCTCATCTCTAAGAGGTATCGAGCAGCTTTCAAACAGGTGAGACTCTGACATCAGTCTTTAGAAGTACCATATTTGAAATGTTTTAGTAATTATTTACTGTCCTTTTCTTTTTTTGCCATTGATGAGACCCTCTCCCCCCCCCCCCCCCCCCTCTTTTGTATCTTTTCTTTTCCTTCTTTTATGAAGGCATTAACATCTTACGTACGACTGTGTAGATTGTGGAGAATGTTTCATTTGCACCCAAAATGTTTATTGTTTTATTAAATCTAGCTAGCTTATGACAGAACACCATGGGCAGAGAAAAAAAAAATTCTAATATACACATTTTTGTCTGAGAAATTGAAATACTTTGCCATATAAAAAGCCACGGAATTTTGGGGGAAAAAATAATAGCAGCGAGCATGGTGCCAGGGACGATGGGCAGGGGCCGACCAACAAGAAGATGGCACAGGATGTAAGTGATTCCTTGGCTTTCTGAGTGCACGAAACGGAAGTGAGTGCGTGACGTTCAACCCCGATAGGACAGCACCACAGACCGACGATTAACACCCGGTGATACAAGGTACCACGATTTGGATAAGAATCCCACATGTGCAAGCTTCAGAAACCTCGTGCAACCGTTAGGTGATATTTGGGCCCCCGACGACAGCCAGAGCCAGCCGAGTTAGCGAGAGGCTGAGTTTCTTTGATGCGGTAGCCATGACAGCGATGCTGTGCAAAGGAAGGATCTGCTGGGGGATAATGATGGTGATAGTGTAGTATCGTTGTGGCAAAGTGTCAGTTTGTTTGCTAAAATTGCACTCGTGAACTGAAGTGCGACACTGTGAAGCGAGCCCACGACCTTCAGAGCGCGAAGCAAGCGGCTTGGCCACGGAGACTCCCTAACTGTTGCACATGTGGGATTCTTATCTAAATGGTAGCATCGTGTGTCACCCGGTGTTTATCGCCCGGTGTGTTGTCCTGTTCAGGTTGAACGTCACTCACTTACTCCCGCCTCGTGCACTCTTACAGTCAAGGAATCAACGCTGGTAAACCCCGTTGGCGTTGGTAGTTATGTCTGTCCACAACCTTTTGTCTCGTGTACTTTCAGTCAACTCTGACACAGATGATCCTCCATGCCTTGATGTCAAACAAACTGTCCAGCCTCTGTTCTCCTGGTCTTCCTCTGCCTCTCCTCCCCTCCAACGTTCCTACTGTCACGATGTACTCCAGTTTCTCCTACTTGTCACATGACCAAAGAATTTAGATTGTCTTTTTTGTGAAATAATGTATTGTATTAATGATATCTGCTATTCTTTGTCGGATGTTGGACAAGGCACAACAGAGGTTATTGTCCACAAGGTGAAAATCAATATTTTAACATGTTTAACTCTTTGAGTCCCAATGAACGCATCATACGTTCATAGATTCCTACCTACATGCCCAATAAACGCAAGATGCGCCGATTTTACGTCTCTCTTGACTACCTCTTGGGCCTTTGATGCAAAACCCCCTGGGACTCAAAGAGTTAATAAAAAAATAAAAAATAAAACTCAATTTCAAAATTTCTTGACGCAACCTTCCTTGAAACTTCCTCAATCCAGGGACGGTCTCTATGTTGGAAACCACTGACCTAAGCATTATTTTCACCATAAACTTTACGTATGTCGTCCTCAGGACGGCTACTTGATAATTTCATACTCTGAAATTTCGAAGTCTCAATATTGATAGCAGACTAACATTAAAAATTCCAGATTGCTTGTTAAACCTTCAAGTTATAATTAGGCCAGCCGTATGAGCCGTGGGGAGGCAGCTTGGTGTAGCGGCTAACTTCGGATCCAAAAGATCGTTCGTTCGCGTCCTGATGGAGGGAGCTTTTTTATTTTCCTTTCAAAAATTACCTTAGTTTCCTGACTGAGTGACTGACTTTCTACCCCACCAGGACATCAAACAAGCGATAAACACCCGATGACACAATGTGCCACCATGTGGGTGAGGATCACCGTGGAGAGGTCCCAGAAACCGCGTTCAGCCTTTAGGCCATATTTATGGCCAGGATATATTGCGGCCCCCGGTAATAGCCAGAGTAGGGCTTCAAAGAACGAAACATTTCATCCTGAAAAAGACGACCTAGATCGACCCAGCCTTTTATGAGTACCAGACAAATTTCTGTGAAGTAGATCCGCCAGTGTAATGTTAACCTCATCATCCACCGAGTGATGATTGGTCTGTAAAATATAGACCTTATGTGACAGAAACGTCTGAAGGCGGGGTTAGAGTCTTTTACTAGATCAGCCACAGCATTCTGGTGTAAGCTTCAGTCTTCTGTGCATAAGATTGGATTTTATTTTATTGTTAGCAGACTCCGACCTAGTGTAAAATGTACAGACTGAGCCAAAGATATGCACGTTTGCTTGTTGTATGTAACACTTTCGTGTGGCCTAATAGTCCCACAATAAGGTGAAGACTCAGATATTATAAACTGCAGAGTAATTTCTATAATTACAGTGCAGACTGCCTGCTTTCCTTGTGGGTTTCGGCGCCATATCCTCGGAAAAACATGAATAGTTTCACTGCCTCCCCAACAAGTCTTAACCTGCACAGTCCGTGGCAAGAGCACTAGCCAAGCAGCCCTAAATCCTCAGACACAAAGACGCTCCTGGCTACACTACAAAAATTGTGAATACAGGCGGTAATTTACATTTTTTTCGGCCACTGCAGGCACTCAGAAGGTACTTCCAAATTATGCTAACCATATGCACTAATTGACATTCTTACCAACTCTGTGCTATCAATATAAAACGTGGACGCTGTCCTCGGAATACATAAGGAAAATAGACGCGACAGAAATTAAATGTTTACGAACTATGCTGGGTGTAACGAGGAACGATCGACTTAGGAGCGATCATATCAGGAGGAGAGAACCAAAAGAGAACCGGCACAGAACCAAAACTTAATTTTGTAGGTAGACAACAAATCAAATGTTTTTGCATTATAAAAAAGAAATTAGCATCAAACAGGGCACCGAAGAGAGCAGTGTTATACAGATACAACGGTAACAGAGCCAGGGGTCGACCACGCAGAAGATCGACCGCAGAAATATCAGAGGCACTGAAAAGTAGATTATGCCAAGCGAATAGATGGATCCGTTCTAGGGATCTCTTACTGCCCTGACGCCCCTAGGCATCCAGGAACAGAGAAAAGAAGAAGAGGAAGAAGAAGAAGAAGAAGAAGAAGAAGAAGAAGAAGAAGAAGAAGAAGAAGAAGAAGAAGAAGAAGAAGAAGAAGAAGAAGAAGAAAAAGAGGAAGAAGAAGAAGAAGAAGAAGAAGAAAGAAGCAGAAGAAGAAGAAGAAGAAGAAGAAGAAGAAGAAGAAGAAGAAGAAGAAGAAGAAGAAGAAGAAGAAGAAGAAGAAGAAGAAGAAGAAGAAGAAGAAGAAGAAGAAGAAGAAAAAGAGGAAGAAGAAAAAGAAAAAGAAAAGAAGAAGAAGAAGAAGAAGAAGAAGAAGAAGAAGAAGAAGAAGAAGAAGAAGAAGAAGAAGAAGAAGAAGAAAAAGAAGAAGACGAAGAAGACGAAGAAGAAGAAGAAGAAGAAGAAGAAGAAGAAGAAGAAGAAGAAGAAGAAGAAAAAGTAGATGAAAGAAGAGGAAGAAGAAGAAGAAGAAGAAGAAGAAGAAGAAGAAGAAGAAGAAGAAGAAGAAGAAGAAGAAGAAGAAGAAGAAGAAGAAGAAGAAGCAGAAGAAGAAGAAGACATTACAACACATATGTGTGGCCTCATACTACAAAACTAACCTGGTAAAGTTATCAACATTTACAAACACATGACATTTTCGTTAACTCCACTGTAGACTATTTGCCCCTGCTGTCACTCACGGCCTACCTCAGGGAGCATCAGTACAGCTCGTCATTCTGAGCGGTTCTCAAAATCTCCAGGCATGGTGGTGGTCAAGAACGGCAACGACAGTCTCAGGGTGATTTTCAGGTAGTCACTAAAATTTCTGTCTTTCTCAAATATAAATCTTCTACTTTAAAAACACACACAGACGCACGCACGCACGCACGCGCACACACACACGTACACACACACGCACGCACGCACGCACGCACACACACACACACACACACAGACACACACACACGCACACACACATACACACGTACGTGAAGAGTAAATTACTGGATAAAAAACAGACGCAGATGGAATAACGATGATTGGGGGGAAGGGGGGGGGGGTGTGGATTTCTTCTGTAAGTTTTGAAAATTTTGTTTTTGTGATGTCTGTATGTCTTATTACCAGTTGGAAAAACATTTATCAGCGTAGATGTGTGTGTGAACTTCCCTCTACTGTTTATACGACAAAACTATTAGCCTTGTACCATCCAGAAATGAATGGCACACTTCTGAAAGTAAAACTGTAAGAAATATGCAGCGAACTTTAAAAATGTGGTTTTTTTTTTTTTTTTTTCCCTCCTGAGTCACTGGAATTTGTTTTCTCTATCAAAGCTCAAGATTGCTGATTTTATTCTACCATTTAAATTCCTATATTCTGCTCAGCCACCAGTTAATACATGTTTGCAGTTTGTTAGTTATTGATTTAGTTCTCAATGTTTCCGATCCATACAGCAGTACTGATTTATCAATAGAATTAGACATTTTAAGTTTAGTTTTAATTTTAATTCTCTTTACTTCCACAAATTTCCTAATGCTATAAAAGCTCATGTTCCATTTTCTATGTGTATTTTAATATCTCTATCAGTTCTCCCATATTTATCACCATTACTGTCAGGATAGGTGTCAGACTGCCGATCCTAAGTGGAATATCCTATAGAGAAATTAGATTACTGCTTGCCTGGTTTATTCTCATTATTTTTGTCTTTTCCTTGTGAACGTATTGTTGTGATCTCACATTAAGTATGTTTAAATTTTCTTGCATCTGACTCCGAGAGTAGGACAGAAGAGAAATAGCTACGAAGTCCTGCTCATCGAAACACATTACAGCCAAAAGTGTACTTCTAACACAGCGTCTTTTGAACGCCCACACTATAAATAAAAAGGCCTTCTGATCTGGTCAACGTGTCTTCAAAATGTAGTGGGTTGAGCTGATTTCCAAAACAGGCTGCTGCAGAAAGGTCAAGAGATAACAGCTGCGCTACGACTCATACACACTTGTGCTTTCACTTAAAAACCGACAAATGTAATCTTAAAATATGTCATCGGTAAAGTGCTCTCAGAATTTGTGTTGGGTAAACTTTACGTTTACGACAAAATGGCCACTTCATTTCCAAGGACGCGAGAAAAGTTGAAGTAACCTCGATAGCTTTCTTTGGCGGGCAATTCCACATTCCGTTTACACATTTTCCCCCTTTTTGGTTCAGGCCGCATTTTGATGGGGAAAATATAATAGATCTAATGCCCCTGCACTTCTTTCCTAGTACCATGCCTTCCGCTGTCCTTTTTTTCTTCTAATTCCCCCGTGGCGCTTGATAGGGCTAAAATGTTATAGTTTCCGGCAAAAGAAAATGCACCTAGCCAACCTTCCTTGATGTTCAGATCTCTTCCGGCAGTGATGCTCAAGCTTTTTACACCAGTGACCCACCAAAACAGGTTGAATTGTTTTCGCGGCCCACCTGATAACTACCCAAAGACGAAATAATAACGAGAGAAGATAACTGTTTATTTGTTACATCGAAAGAAACAAAATTCAAAAGTTCAGATAATGTTGCACCCTAGAGGTTAAAAACATATCTAATATATCTGACTGGAGCGTTGTTTTTGATAGACGTAGCGCTACAATAACAAATATGTGCTTTTTGTTCGTTTTTTGTTGACCAATATCAGAAAGTCTTTTCACCTAAATAGAAAGCCCCTGATGTGTTAATCCTACAGCCCAGGAAGAGAAACACCCCCCCCCCCCAACCCTATCTCGTACCAGGATTAGGTTACCTTGATTGGCGCCCCGCACGGACTTTTCCCCGTTGACCGGTGAGTCGCGGTCTATGGGTTAGAAAAGCACTGTCTTAGAGCATAACTATTTCTTTTCGTTTTTGGCTTCCATGATGCTTCACGGGCTGTAAACTCCCAAGGAGTAGAGAAAACAAGTAGAAGATGTGTGTGCGTATGTGTATGTGCTTCCGCACCGTTTCCTGGCTACCTACGGGCTAGACTGCATTTACTTCGTCATGAATCTGCTCACCAACAGATGTGACCCAACCAGTCAGTCAGTCTGCCGTCTAGGTTCCTACCACACCTGCATCATCATCTTCATCATCATAATCATTGTCTTGTTGTACCACATCGGGCTTGAAGTCTATTCCTTCATTCCTTTCTATCCTGTACAATGCTTTCGACATCACTGATGGAATGTATGTAGTCCAACACCCTTCACCTCTCATCGACATTTGTTTTAGGTTTTTTTTTTTTTTGGGGGTGGGGGGGGGGGGGGGGGGGGGGGGGGGGTTGGGGGGGGGAACATCCTAACTTTCTGTCCTTTTATTTCACATGTAATTCCTGACTGGTGTTTGTTTGCTCGTTTCTTCTTAGGATGTGTCCAGTATGGGGACATTATCTGTGTCTTGTTGTTATTGTTACCAGTTGTTACCCAGAAATTTTTTATTTCTTCGTGCCTCTTGAATTCCTTCCATGTTATGTTCCCTATTTTTCGCAAGCATTTGAAATCAGAAGCATGCTGCATATAAAACACCTAATGGACGTTAGTTACCTGCAACCTCTGAAACGATAATTAGCAGTCGTCGCGAAGTATGCATTATGGGTATGTTAAAAAAGTTAGTTGGGTATCCTTTAAGGACGTTGCAGAACCAGCCCCAGTATTTATTGGCTGTTATGGTTATACAGGCAAATTTTACCTTTAATAGTTTGCCTTTGCTCCTAAACGGTCAGTTCTCGGTACCACTGTGGAAACCAACGCAAGAAAGATCTTCTGCAACAGGAATCGAACCCGGCACCTTGGCATTACGAAGCGCGTTCGCAATGCCTAAGCCACAGACGCCGACCTGTGTCTGTAACAATCACAAAATATGTGTCTGCGTCCTCTCTTTAAAATTAATTAGGCGAAACAAGAGTCATAGCCGTTTTAAATAGTCACCTGTTTCTCATAAGTTATGAGTTTTCACCACTTCTAAAGTTATGAGCTATGTATGTGCACTTATATAGAAAATGTATGTGTACCAAAGTGGTGCTTACACTTTATATTCTTCTTGGCCCCAGAGAGCTGAGATCATCTGTCTGTCGTTAGTTGAAACAGGTCAGCGCAAACATTAACCCTGGTGAAACATCAGACAGTTTACAAAGGGAAACGATCTCATCAAAATTCATATTCCTAACAAGAAAATCTGTATCACATGCTGCTCCACAGAGGCTTGCAAATCTATGTCGTTAGCTTAACTCTTGTAGTTTTATGGAGGTTTCATGGTATCGTTGCTGGAGCTAACGAGATCTTCCTCGTACACTGCTCTGGACAGGCTGTTAGCACTGCTACAGAGCACTTCTACCGATCCATATAGGAGAAAACTCTATGGAATTAGGTCAATCCTCTCGACTCTTTATTGCTGCCGCTGCTGGCACCATTTCGTCTTTCGAGACGATAGTGTTAACTTATGCTATAGCACAGTATTTCCCAAACTGTTCGTAGTAGCGGCGCCTTGTTTCAATTACAACTTTTCCATGGCGCCCTTACCTGAGTAAAATTAACTAATTGTATGCTAGAGATCAAAAAAAAAAAAAAAAACTCGTGTATCTTCGAATATTTCGTGGCGCCCCTGTGAAGAGGTCGCGACTTCCTGGCGAGCGCGGCGCACAGTTTGGGAATCCCTGCTATAGCGAGTCATCCTGTATATAACACAGGGTATGTACATTATAGTAGAGACCATGTGTTGATTAATCATCTAGATCTTTCTCTTAGACTGCCTTGTTGATTCTAAAGGATCCATGTGTGGGTTTTGGGTCCTTGGAGGGGGAGGGGGGTAATAGACCCCCTGCTACTAGCAAGGATGTAATAGTCATCTGCCTGAGCAGATTCAGCAGCCAACATACATGTAAGCCAGATCTGTCACATGGATGTGCACAAAAGTTCTTAAACAAGACTAAAGTCTACAACTGGACGAACAACCAGCTCTTTCCGCCGGAGTTTACAGCTGTTGCGTGCTGATTTGGGAGAGTGTAATATTGTGGGAAAGGACAAAGTGGTATGATAGTTATTTCCATGAGTTCAAGGAAATGTCCCGTGAACAGTGTCAACATTGGCCTAAGTAGTGAGGGGGAGACAACACTAGGACGAATGAGATATGTATTATCACTAAAGAAGCATGAACACCCGAAAAAGTAGATGCGTGGACTCAGTGAGGGGGCTGACAAGCATGGCTAACGTGACGCACAGAGAAAGTATGAATTACGTGCCAGCGAGATTCTCACGTAAGCCTGGGCCATCCACATGAGTAATTTTCGTATAGTCGGAGAACGGCGACACTAGCGTACCTCTCGTGTAACACCCGCCGCCCGCATGGGTCCGGCAAGGATATATTGGGGCTACGTAGTCAGACGAATTTAGAGAGAGTCAGAGAGCCCAAGTCAGGGTCAGTATCTCTCGAGTGAGACAGATAGAGTACCGTGCGACCGTCAGACAGAGAGGTCTGAGTTGGAGTCTCAGTCACGGTACTGGTCGAAGATAGAGTCCAGCTGGCGAAGTAAGGCAAATGGGACTGGACGCTCCAATAGTGACTGTTCTGGGTGACGACGCAAAGAGACGTAGGATCACGATGGAAACAGAGCAGTGGGGATGCCGACGAGAGCTGTGTGCTAGACGGGACCTGGGCTAGAAGTCCTGTCGGTCATCGGAGTCCTTCGACAGGCTGATGTGCTGTGGGCACATGCTGGAGAACGAGCAATTAAAGTCCGTTTCCAGTCAGCTGACGTGTCTGCTGAAGTAATATCAAGGTCCAGTTGATAAGAGAGTTGTTCCTGTTCTGT